ACTGAAATGGCGTCAGTCGGGGATTCTACCACTAAGCTGTTGGCGCACGGATGAAGGTGAATGTAAGCGTATTTATTTTTAGATGAACATACAGTGACTGAGAGAACTCGAAACGATTTACCGAAGAGTCTAGCATTATTAGCCGTAATAGTCACTGTTTACAAACCCACATTTCCTACCAGAATAAATTTTTCAGGAGCATATATATTAGAGAAATAGAAAGGAATAGACATAATATGCATATATATATATATATATATATATATATATATATATATATATAGTTTTAAGGTGTGCTATATTTATTGGTATAAAGTGCTCAATATCAGAGATAGAGCGTATGTAAATATAAAAGTGAACATTAAAGTTAACACTCAGAGGCGACAGAGACTGTTTCATGCTAAACGCAATCATCAGCTCCATTTATATGTACCTATATTAACATTTTTTCCGGGGAATTTGAATTTAGCGTAGGGCATATTCCATTGGTTAATTACGGCAAACCTCTCAAGCCTATTTGTAAAAAGTATTCTGTTTTGGAAATTGAATTAATCTTTCACTTGCCATTAGTTTAACATCGACCGAGGAGACATATTTGTAATGATTTTTAACATGTTTTAATATATATATATATATATATATAAAAATCGTGAATCATTCATACAAAAAACAAATATAGAGGGTAATGATTTAAATGGCGAGAATACATCTTCGCAAACAATATAAATAAGATACACCAACACCGAACCTGTATATGAATGATATGATCCCTGTTTACAAATTCCAGTCGCATAAGGTCTTTTTAATTTTTTACAAGCTTTCGTCTGTTCCTACAGACATCCTCAGGTATGGAAATAGATTTGTTCTTGTTTTTACTTCTCAGTAATAAGAGGACAACGAAAATAGAGATGCAATCCGAAAAAATGCTATGAGAAATGTGTTATTGTTTTGGAACGTGCGGTCGCAACGCTGAGTTTGAATTTAAATTTTAAGGTTGTACGTTTTTACACTAATATAGTTATAACAGAATTCTTTTTTACTGGTAGATTTTCCGTGAATATGGCATGAACTATATTGTTCAATAATTACAGTAATGTCACAACTATTATCCGAAAGATGCACGTTGGATCAATTATTTTAATTTCATTTAAAAGGTGCAATTATAATTTATAAATTCATGAATCATTCATACAAAAATGATTTTGAATTTATAAATTATAATTGCACTTTTAATTGAAATATATATATATATATATATATATATATATATATATATATATATATATATATATATATATGCAAATATATAGAAAATAGGAAAGAACACATTAGGCAAATAATCCGGAGTTCTTTAGTATTTTTGTTTTTATTTTTAAAATGCAGTGCTCCATACAGAAGTAGAGCTTAAATTATAATTATTTTAAAAAAATATGATTCCTTCGCTATATAATAGTTCTCATTTTTTTTTAAATAATATATATATATATATATATATATATATATATATATATATATATATATATATATATATAACTGTTGTGTTGCTGGCGATTTTTTCTGCGTATATTAAGTCGCAATTGATGGCTTTGAACTTTAATAAATAAACTGGATGTGGTTTGATGTGAATCAACGAAGGTTCGAATTACAGTAGCGGCCATTGGTGTTAACGTTAGGCTCTGTCACTTGGGAATGATTCCACCTCTCCTCACGCCATTACCATAAAGGTCTTGACAAAGAGATGTTGCCACAATTATCGAGTACTTAAACAAGTAAACACGATAGAGATTAATCTCCTGTAATTATTTCGACAGGAGAGGCAGTCGTCAGTCGACTGTGTTTCCTTTACTGACAGCTTTCGATCGTTCTTTATAAATACAGAACTATACGAGGAGATAAACTATTATCTTTTCTTCTACTTCTTTCTTCTTTTTCTTCTTCTTCTTCTTCTTCTTCATCTTCATCCTCTTTTTCTTTCTTCTTTTTCTTCTTCTTCTTTTTCTTCTTCTTCTTTTTCCTCTTCTTTCTTCTTATTTCTCCTTCTTTCTTCTTTTTCTTTCGCCTTTTCATTCTTCTTATTTTTTCCTTCTTCTTCTTCTTTCTCCTTCTCCTTTCTTTTCCTTCTTTCTTTTTCTTCTTCTTTCTTCTTCTTTTTTCTTCTTTCTCCTTTTCCTATTCTTCTTCTTTTTCTTATTCTTCTGTCTTCTTCATCTTTTTCTTTCTCATTTATTCTTCTTTCTTTTTCTTCTTATTCTTTCATTTCTTTCTTCTTCTTCTTCTTCTTCTTTCTTCTTTCTCCTTTTCTTCTTCTTCTTCTTCTTTCTTCTTCTTATTTTCTTTCTTCTTCTTTCTTCTTTATTTTCTTTCTTTTCTTTCTTTTTCTTATTCTTTCTTTCTTTCTTCTTCTTCTTCTTTTCTTCTTTTTTCTTTCTTCTTCTCCTTTTTTATTTTTCTTTCTTTCTTTTCTTTCTTTCTTCTTCTTCTTCTTCTTCTTCTTCTATAGGGTCTGTCCCTCCAGGATGCTGGCGATCATGACTATCCGAGATTTGCTGTAGCTCTTAATATTAGGTTGGTTTAAAATAATGACGTAAGAATATCGTTTTTTTTGACGTTAAAAATACGTCAAAAACGACATTATTACGTCATTATTTTTGCACCAACCTAATAACTTTCATCTTTTTACAATCTCTTCCAACCCCTACCCCCTCATCATCCATTCGTTCAAACTCGCCAGGTCATGCAAAGTTTTCCTCTCCTCCTCTTACTTTCAATATGTCCTGTGTGTATCAAATTTTCCAAGTCCTCTTGCCTCATCATGACCCCCAGAAATGTCAATTATTTTCCTGATGTGGTAGAGATAAACACTCAGTTGTGGAGCAAGCTAAGTGAATAATAATCCAACCTTTAGAAAGAGAGCTATTTATGTTGCCATGGAGCATCTCATTTTGCTAAAGCGGGATAGTCCATTGCTTGGGCTGTGATTGGCTGCTGGTACCTGAGTGGAGGTATTTCTATATAAATACCAGCTTGATTCATCAGTTAGTTTGCAGGGTTTGTATTAAGTTACAACCTGCTTTATTTTTGTCTGCCAGCTGGACGCTAGCTGGGACCTTTACACCGGTAAGTGCTGTTTATTATTGTTATTCTACAATGTTAAGTATAAGTGTCGTTTTTTTTTTCATTTTCTCTAAAACTTCGTCGTTGCTCACATGTTTGGTCCATGGTATTCTCGGAATGCTTCTGTAGAAACACATTTTTGTTGCTTCATCTATAAGAAGATTTTCCAGCATTCACTGCCATATCGGAATACTGATATTACATAACACTTCTAGAGGACGTTATATTCCGTACCTATGAACACTAATGGGTATGTCGCAATCCTCATAAATACGTTGGCCACTATTGTAAGTGATGCTAATATGGTGTCTGAGTAGCCCGTCACGAGCAGTGGTTTACCTACTTCACTCCGCTGGCGAGTATTGTATTTTGTCGATGTTATAAATAATACCATTTCATTTCCTTCCTCCGTTTTCGTTATTCCTCATTTAGTAACACTTTCTAGGTTACAACATTTAACAAAATCAATTATGGCATGCAAAATATTGATGGAAAAGAAGCAACGTCTTCCGAATTATATATATTACATATTAAAGTTTATATATTATATATTAAAGTTTTATTTTAGTTATTATTTTTATCTTACGGGATATTTTAGATAAACTAAACAAAATCAAACGCACAATAGAATTTACATACGAAATAAAAAATAAAAAAAAACTAAACTTAAAAATCATGTTACACTAAGTTTACAACAGCCTTAAACTTAGTGCCCACAGAAAATCAACCAATAAAAATGACCTTATAGATTTAACCCTATCATGACAACAAAATAAAACCCGGAATGATCATTGGATTCTATTTAAGAGCACTAAGAATTTGCAGCCCTTAATAATTACACGAAGAGGAGAAATGTATTGAAAATACCTTCAATACACTATCAATCCAATGCGAAACAAAAAGTTCATAAAATGTTCAAAAAATAGAAAAGCTGTCCTTCCTGACAAACCGAACGAATCAAAAAATATATTATTCTACCCATTAATTCTATCACAACTACAACCAAAAAGAATTTATCTAAAGTTAAGATAAAATTTGTCACAACTACATCTAAAACAATCAAAGATTTAATAAAAAAAAAAAAAAAAACGAGCCAAAACTTGAAAGACGAATTTACTCTAAGAAATGCAGGAATTGCCAATATGAATACACTGGAGAAATCTCAAGAATTTTTTATAAAAGACTGTATGAACACAAAAGGGACATTTTAAATAACAACACACAAAACGCATAGGTTCTTCACTGTAATGAAACTGGTTACAATTTTGGCTCACGGAATGCTATTGTGATTAAAAGAGAAAATAATTCAATGAGACGAAATATGCCTGTAAAGTGACTTTGTCGCTAGTTCAGGTACGACAAATTTGTGTTCAGGCTCTCACAATATATCACCATTCTAGGCAGATTTTCTGTTGTCACGATGTGAGGTAGTCAAGTAAAAAAGAGAAAAAAGAAAAAGAATATAGATGGATTTGGCTTGACTGAAAAAATATTCTTTCAAAAGATATTCTTTCAAAAATTTTGAAACTACCAGCGTCTCTCGTTTCGTACGCATGTGCAGTCGTGGAAACATCAACAAAGCCCAGTCCGAAGTCCTAACGGATGAAACCCTTCACAAAATCTTCAAAAAACTTTTTTTTTTTTTACATTTTTCTCATACTAATCTATCAATACTGTTTTTTGATACATACAATTATAAATCGTTATGTCATATATATATATATATATATATATATATATATATATGTATGTGTGTGTGTGTGTGTGTGTGTGTGTGCGTGTGTGAAAAGCGTATATAAATATAAATAAATATGTATAATTATTTATATATTATATGCGCGGTAATTATTAGAAAGCGCTCAATATCAGAGATAGAGCTAACATAT